TTCTTCTAATCATAGTCCAACGCAGTACCAGTTTACACAGCCATGTGTCTGGCGACAGACTGCTCTAGCTCGATATCAGCGTTCCTGGCCCCGATGTAGAAATACAAGCTCTCAGCGGACCATTCCTGAAACCTCGACAGTGTATGGTAACATGGGTTTAACAGACACCACATTGTCGCATGAAAGGGGAAACCTTTGAGAATCGACTCGAAAAATAGGCTCAGCGACGGAAATGACGTACTGTGTTTCTGTTTGAAATCAATAGCTTGGTAACCAAATATCATCTTCTCAGGGAACTCACTTTTACACGTATGTTTTATAAGGTGTTACAAGCAGTTCACTAACTCTGCCTCGCTATTGTTGGCTGGGCTCTTACTCGATCATCTGGTTTCGACCTTCACCACGTTCTTGCTATATTCATTCCCGGCTCCAGACCGAGGTGACCCAGCTTGGTAAAATTACCACTGAATACATACATTGTCTTGGTACATCTCAGGCGTCTTTTTACATCATGGTTTTCACGTTGGTAGATGTAAAACCATCTCTCTGTCTTGTCTGTTCACGACTGTGTGCATTCATCCAAACACACAGATTACACTAGTACAGCAGACCCCATAACGATCCTCCTGGTGTAGACGAGCTAAAGGACAACTTGTAGGATGCTGGGGTGCCCTTCGAGAGAAGCGTCTGCTCATCTTCATGAAGGACAGTTAAGGACACGTTACATGAAGTCCTCTACACGTGTTACAGGTGGTATTATTGCTGGAGTACTGGAGTATTGCTAAACCGGGAGAAAGATCAACTTCACTCCGTATCAGAATAGATACTTTCAGAACCTCCTTGATACTTACATATGATAGCGTAACTTACGAACTGAGTCAGTGGTGCTCTACACAATCAGGACAATCAGGGTATACGACATCCGCGAGCGAAAGGGGGAGATTCATTCAATATCCGCTATATAGCCATGATATACACTAGGTGTGTACATGGTCAGAGGCACTGGCTCTGTCGAAAGACAGAACATGTTGTGATATGCCATGGGTAATATGCTTGCAGAATTAGGGCGACACACATTGTCAGGGTAAAACACACAATACGGCAGGTGACACACTGTAACCAGGATATACCCACCCTGGACGAAGTGTATTGAGAACAACTCATTTGGAATTCATTACGAGACATTAGTGATGCTCACAACCGTGTTAAAGGTCACACATCATGTATTGTAAACAACCAATCTTATTTTGTCGCCTACTACAAGAATGAACTGGTATGGTACACTTTACTAACATTGAGAACACCGTGGTGATATGGTACACTTAACTAATACTATGAGCACCACATCAATCCTGATGATCGTTTCATAGATGATACATGGTACTGATTCTGTCCATCTACATTCCTCCATATATATATTCACTGGTTTCAAGAAGTAACAAAATAACTTATAGATTCTTGAAATGTTCAATTTATTGCACATTTTAACTTGAAATGAACATTTATCCTAAGTACAGTAACATTGTTAAGTTAATGAACAATCAGTTTGCAATGAAGTAAACCAAGACCTTGATGTATTTTGATGTCATGTTTTGTACACGTTTTGATTTATAAAAAATACTTGTCATAGACACTGAAGGACTGCATATAATTGGCTGGACTAAGAGATCACAAAGAGTGCCAGGTTTTCTATTCACTATCTGCATATGATTCATGAATAGCGAAGTCCATTAGATTGGCACTGGCAGATCCAATCTGATACAGCTTCCTTGTAATAAAGTAAAGTGACTGCCTTAATCTCTCAAGGCCAAATGCAGATGATCATGTATTATATTTTCAGGTACTGGACCTAAAGCTAGTTCCACACTGTGACCTCAGCACTACAATAGCTGTAAGTCTACATGTATGCATGAGTCACAACAATCTCAGCACTAACATCATTCTGGCAAACAGGAACGATCCGCAAATGTCCAAAACCAATGCTCTGGCTCTGAACTGGCTTCTAATGCCATGGAAATTATTTTTTTTACTTGGAACTGTTAAGTGTTAATTCCTTAACGCATAGTTTGTATCAGCTAAGTGAAATATTAAACAATTCATACATAATGAAAACATGTATAAAAAATATATATAAGTAACCCAGTCATACCCTGTATGAGGTATGAAGATAGCTGTTTAGGTTTCATGTTATTAACTTCAGCTTTCCGTCCAGACTCTTTCATGAATGATGAAACATTACACACAATAAAGAAGAACGTAAAATAATAATTACATTGTAGGTCAGGTTGCGGAGTCTAGTTAATGGACCTCAATATTTCATACAGATCATTTAGATTCCAGTTTCCATAAGTGTGTTGTTCTTGTCCCTTTCAGATCAACTGTCATTGTATGTTCAAGTTATTCAAGCACTTCCCCACAAAACCCAAAACATAAATGTCATCATTTGCTAATGAGCAAAATAGTCATAATTAGTCAATAGAGTGGTACTTCACAAATGATGAGAAGTATGATTACTTTCCAACCAAAATCAAAATTATTCATGTTGTTATCAAACTCAACACTAATCCCCTCACACTAAAACTTCAAAAGGTAAGCACTTTACAAATCTGTATACAATCATGGACAATATATATAAACAGAACAAGCTGGCAGTGAAATGCTACAGGAGACTCTCATATAGACATAAATCATATTCCCCATACAACCTGAAATACTCGGACATATTTTTATAAATGATAACATTAGCTGTTGAATAATGTCTGCAACAGCTTTTATGTGACATAAACCTTTCCTCATGTATATATGTAGCTTGTCAAACATATCAACCTGTACTGAAGCAACATCATGCAGGACATGGGAAGGTTCTTTTGTTGTTTGCTAATCCATGGACCATATATTACAGTAATTTTGTAGGAAAACATTGTAAATATTATTAAGCCTTAAGTATCGTCAATGAACAGAACTCCAACATGGAAATGGTTGTAACTCTTTGATCAGTCATTCTATAATGTTTCCTGTATTTCAACAGAATACTTTAAAGATATTGTATTCTTTTAATGTCAATAATTGTATCTTAGGAAGAGATTAATAAGTTTCTTACAAAATGCCCACACCATTACTAAGTGAGAGAGTTATTCAGGCTTTAGCAGAAAGCCCAAAGTGACACAGGCCTGGACATTTACTACTTTGTTGAACCAACAAACAAGGATCACATCCGACAGACCAAGATTAACCTGGGATTCAAACTAAAGAACAGAGACTCCTGGTTATAGATGAAACTAAAGCACCTTTGACCATACTGTAACCCAGCTATGGAAGCTTCAAATGCGTTTTGACACATATAGCTTGGGAAGCTTGATAAATGACTTTTTTAATGTTGAACTACGATTGACAGAAGTGATAAGTTGTTAACATCTTTCTGACAAAAATGTCTCCCAAAGTAAACATTACAAAATTTGGCATTCAATAAAGGTACATACAGATAATGAAGTCAGCATTAAAGGACTTAGAATAATTTCCAGAAAGAATTTTAAATTTCACTAAATATGTTGCAAAATGACAGCTCTGTGATTTACCAGGAACACAATACACAATTACACAAACCATGCACGCCCTTGTCACACTTCTCATACATCCCTGCAAACCCAAACACCCAATCTGCCCACATTCATGTGTACACATCCCGTATGCCTCATCTACAGACAACCATCAGCATTAGAAACCAATTCCTGTACATATACATGACTTCAAAGACTTCATACTTGAACAGAGACATTGTACAGGCAAGTTACACACTGACAATGTCATTAGATAAATGCAAATGAAGCTGACTGTTCCTTCTTTGGGGCCAACTCCCAAATGATAAATGCAACAATTCTGAATAATTCTGAAATACAAACTGTACAAAATAGGTCACAACAGCATATATGTGATCAGTGATCAGAAATACTATCTGGGAATTTATCATCATTCAAACATAAACATTCTGAGACAACTGTTTATCTGTTTTCCCCCAACTGCTCATGTTTACATAGGCATGGTTCTCTGGAACACCCAACAACCTTGGCAAACACAGCACACAGCTTTCATAAATAAGGCACTATACACACGTAACAGAATACTGGTAGAAAAGCAAATTCATATTACTTTAGTTCATTGGTATTATTTTGCATAATGCACATTTTAAGTAGGCAGACGGTATTAGACTGACCAACAGAAACTTCAAACTGTTTTAGGAAATATATACACCAGGGTTCTGTTGAGACCCCCAATTACCAATTTCAAGGGTCCTCGCAGGCTATAGGACCTTCCTGTAAAGTATTGAAATGCTGTAGTGTGCTGAACCATAACATTTAGTGATTATTTCATAATTACAATGAATACTATTCTAGATCTCTCATGACACAAAATATATTCTTTCTGTATTCATTTGGTGTTTGTGCGGGCCAGACACACATTTCTGTGTTGTGCAAAACCATGCATACCACTATAAAAATAAGTCTAAAACTACCAATTCTTCCATATTACCATAGTAACTGTCATGTGTTGACAGATTAACGTCAGCTGTGTGAAATATGTGGGTGTGGCCCGACTTCTCTTGAGTAGTATATAGAGAACCTCACCCAAGTGTCTACTGATATCGATTATATCAACACGAGTTGATAAAGTTACAAATATCCGAGGCTTGCCGAGGATATTTTCACTTTCATCAACGAGTGTTGATCTAATTGATATCAGTAGACACGAGGGTGAGATTCTATTTATCATCAAAAATCATTCTTCATTAGTTTTCAATGAAAAATTTACATCTCTCAACACTGTACTACCATTAGACTTGCTGTGCAGTGATGTCATAGCATTGTGACATCATCAAGTTGATGACGTCATAGCATTGTCAGGGCATTGTACAAAATCTACTGTCAAAACGATATCTCCTAGGAGATATCATATGATCTCACACAAGCGATATCTCCCGTGGAACACAGTTTTGGATGATAAATATATATATACCAGTACAACATTCATGTTTCTCCTGCAGGTTATGGGTCATTAAACTCAAGTTCCAAACTTGTAATTTATCATACATGTAGCTACATAACATTCTACACAAGTCAGAGTCACTTGTGTACAAATCAAAGGTCAACATAAATAACTGGTTGCATTACATTTTTCTTTCCATACATGATACAAAGGATATTCTTAATCATCCAATTTAAAATTTAAATTGTAAACTGTTTCTTTGGCCAAGTTACAACACAATATCTACCATGCATAATCTAAAAGTATTGTTCTTAACAAGAATTTCAGCAATATACAAAACTGTACAACTGTCTTCACAAAATGTACAAGTCTATACACGTATTTACACCAAAGAAAGTTTCAATGTCTGCGTGGTCGTTTCCCAGAGCCCTCCGTTGCTGAATTCTTTCTCTTTGCCGGCATGGAATCTGGAAGACTGACATCCAAACATTTGTTACAGCATTGAACATTAACAATTCTTTCCCAAATATAAAATGCTTTTGAACCAAAAAACTTACAAATTCAGTGAAGTGTACTTATACAGAAAATGTTCCCTTGTAATGTAATGCATGTTAACAGATCAGAGCTGCTACTCATCATGGTAAAGAATGCAAACCTTAAAAGAAAACCTTGTTCCAGTTATTTTAATAGTCTTATCCACAGACTTGGTAATCAATCATTTTAAAAAAACTATGTCACCTCAAATTCCACTATCTCATACTATCATTTAAGAGGAAGGTCCCCACAGAATCTTTCTTGCCATATGGTATTCAATTATGCCAAACACAAAGACAGAGGCATCACACAGTATTGTGGAATACCGGTACTGCGCAGATTGAGTTGCTCCGTACCTAGCTCGTAATGCGGTGATTTCTGGTGGACTGTAGTCATCAGGGTTGGGGCAAGGGTCCTCAGTCAGATGGGCTGCGATAAACTCCGGCTTCAGACAATGGATATGGGATTTGATGAGATTTTCCAGATCATCCTAATGAACAAGAAAGTCGTTATTAATCTGTACACATGATAAAATGCTAAAAAATCCAAACACAATCAAAACATTGAAAAATCCCCAAACACTATATAATGATTATTTTGCATAAACTCCATGAATATGGATTTCATAATATAGAAGCAAGCACATGATCTGAAACTGAAAGCCCTCCAAAAAAGAAAAAGATTATCAACACTCTAACGCTTCACATGAACGGGCATTTTTACTGAAAGCAACAAGGATATGCTCAAATGAAATGTGTGACATTAAAACAACACAGATGTTGAATATTTCTAAATTCCATGACAAAGATATTTCTTTAAACTGATCCACCAGCACAGAGTAAGCTGAGAAATAGGTGAGCATCTGTGTAAAATGTTGAGCAGTACGAACCTGAGATAGTTTAACTTTGTTAAGTTCAAGGAATGCATGCGTGGCAGTAACATCACTGCTGAATGGTGGTCTGCAACAGATTGGAAACACAAATCAGAATCTACACAACCCACAAATCACAAATGTCATCTGATGCTATGCAAATTTCATACAATACACTGATTTCAGCAACTCTCCTGAATGAATGTCCCCAAAGCCAAACAATTGATCTCCAAGTCATTCACTGAAAAAATCATTTTCAGTATCAACACAGATATTTGTATTCAAGCAAATACACCATTACAGAGACAACTGGTCAGTTTTATGTTGAGCATTGCAAGCCAAGCTGCATGTGAAGATTAACAGTTACGTTATCCTTCAGCGTAACCAGTTACTGCTGAGTGAGCAGTGGCATATTCCAAACAAAGTCACATGTCCAAGGAAACACCACATGTGCTACATGTGCCTCAGTGTGTGGCAAGCCCAAAGCCCAGGAAACGCTTCGGAGACAAGCTGGCAAATAGTCACCCATCCAAAGGCTCTCTGCAACCAGCATTGCCTAACTACTCCTGATTTAAGACCTGCGTATTCTACTCCAGACCATGTCCAGTAATACAGTGGTCACATCGTATAACAACCATACACAAGAACTTGATCTCTGAGTACTGTACTTACTTGAGGGGCAGCACCTCAGCTCCACCTGCTTGTAACAGTCGGGAGAAGTTACTCTCTCTATTCTTGTCTGTACATAGAATAACTTGCCATCCTTCAAAAGCACCTCGACAGAGTGGGTCAACCTGGGAATATAGAGGAAAGTGTTGAGTGTCAGCTTCATACCCATTATGGAAATAACAGGTCTAAATTAGATTTCAAAGTAACATCAAACATGCCACAGATACATGTGAGTAAAAGCAACTCAGTGCAACATATGTTGTATGATGAGTGAGCTGACATATGGATTTCTCCATTAGCTCCTTTGAAATGCAACATTTTGGTACTGGAAGTTACAGCTTTATCAAGCAAGTGATAAGGGTACAACCACCTAAATGATATGTGCCACTGAAAGAAGAAATGATATGTGCCACTGAAAGAAGAATGAAGCTCAAATCCATAATTGTCCTTTTAGTTCTGTCATTCAACGTCTAAAATGTGACTGAAAGTATTCTGAATGTTCCTTGACACAAGAATGGAAAACAAGAACTTCCACCTTTGACCAGTGTGATAGATGCAAGACCACATCTTGAGATACTACATGGGAATTCAATCACAGAGCATCAACATGGAGTTCCATTCAGTGTATTTCATGGGAGCCGCAACCTGGTATGATACCACAAGTGAATTCAAAATAATGGGGGTACCTTTTTCATTTCCTTGACCTTCTGTCTCCACCTGTTAGCTGCAGCTGCTAGTTTGCTACACTGGGCGTTCATGTTGAGCATGATGTTATGAGTTGCATCACTTCCCCACTCGTGACACTCCTCCTGTAGACATGTAACATTGACGTGGAAACAATTAGCACACCTTTTACCATCATGTTTCAGTGGAAATCCAAAATGATGACATAAAGGACGACACTATCTCGCGATACATTAATACTAAACTGAGTGAACCAAGTAGTGACCTGTGAGTTGTTTCACTCTGAAGTCTGAAATATAACAGCTACGTAACAGCAGTCTGTATAAAACTGAATCTGGTTTCATGTTTGTTTATTGTTTAGCTCCACTCAGCAGTAATCCAGCTATACAATAACAGTCTACAAATAATTCAGATCAGACAATCCAGTGATTACATCATGAGCATCAATCCACATTTACCATGACGTGAATACCATGACATGCATCAAATCTGTTATATATATATATTAGCCATATATGATCTGATGATTAACAAACATTAATCACTATAAACATAATAGTCCTGTTTCAGTTATAAATGCTAGTACCTTGACAAAGTATCCCTCTCTTCGACATGCCTCAAAGTAGGACTTATGTAGCACCCATTTCCCTGCAGCCACACAGGCCAGGAACTTCTCATTCCGTGCTGGTGTCTCTGAAACAGCACTCTCAAGTATATAGTACATGTTGAGAATGTCACAAACAGTACCAAAGATGTGTGACACCAGAGATGTCGTAATTTGTTTGTGGTATTTAAAAATAAATTTGTGCACTGTGAAGAGAAACTGGAACATGGAGATGGTTGGCTTGATTGTCTGAGAAGTCTTGGGATGAGATACCCAAATTTTATTTGATGTGTACAAGGAGTATGGCAGACACTTGTACAACCAGACGTGTACAAGAAATGCGATGTACCTATCTACTTCAGGAAATGTACAAGCAGCACAACTGACTCACCAACAACAGGTTACAAGATGTGTGACAGACTCACCTACAACTAGATGTGTACAAGATGTATCAAAGTGTTGCGAGTCCAACAACTTCCCTCCCAGTTGCTCCACCAGTGCTCCGTAGTCCACACGCTCCTGCAACACCCACATACATCACATGGTCTGTTCACACAGCAGGCAAACAACTATCATCACTACAGTAACAGTAGCAAGTTGCAAAGTGAAACATCAGAGAAGCCTTACCCTTTTCTGTTTGATAACAATATCATATTTAAAGAGAAACCAATTATTACTTCAAACCTGAAAGTGTCAGGAAACAAGAAGCACATCACTGTTCACTTACATGGTTGCTCACTTACATCACTGCATACTTACATCATGCTGCATTCCAGACACCAGTATCACTGGGAGTTTCCGTTCTTTCTTCTTTTGTTCCTCCTCCAAGATTTCAATAGGCTGAGGCGACATCACCCTGCTAGTTCTACGTGGTTCAGGGAATGCTGCAAAATGTATGATATAGTCTTTAGCTGAATGTGTATTGGATGTGAAAACTTTGTGTATGGTATGAATGGAAGGATCAACAAGAAATCTCATTCTAGCCTTCTATACCGAGGACTCTCTATAAAGAGTGCTCCTGTATACTCTATGTACTGACTCACCAAGAGGTGGAGGAGGACTGTCTATAAAGAGTGCTCCTGTATACTCTATGTACTGACTCACCAAGAGGTGGAGGAGGACTGTCTATAAAGAGTGCTCCTGTATACTCTATGTACTGACTCACCAAGAGGTGGAGGAGGACTCTCTATAAAGAATGCTCCTGTATACTCTATGTACTGACTCACCAAGAGGTGGAGGAGGACTGTCTATAAAGAATGCTCCTGTATACTCTATGTACTGACTCACCAAGAGGTGGAGGAGAACTCTCTATAAAGAATGCTCCTGTATACTCTATGTACTGACTCACCAAGAGGTGGAGGAGGACTGTCTATAAAGAATGCTCCTGTATACTCTATGTACTGACTCACCAAGAGGTGGAGGAGGACTGTCTATAAAGAATGCTCCTGTATACTCTATGTACTGACTCACCAAGAGGTGGAGGAGAACTCTCTATAAAGAATGCTCCTGTATACTCTATGTACTGACTCACCAAGAGGTGGAGGAGGACTCTCTATAAAGAATGCTCCTGTATACTCTATGTACTGACTCACCAAGAGGTGGAGGAGGACTGTCTATAAAGAATGCTCCTGTATACTCTATGTACTGACTCACCAAGAGGTGGAGGAGGACTGTCTATAAAGAATGCTCCTGTATACTCTATGTACTGACTCACCAAGAGGTGGAGGAGGACTGTCTATAAAGAATGCTCCTGTATACTCTATGTACTGACTCACCAAGAGGTGGAGGTCTATAAAGAATGCTCCTGTATACTATGTACTGACTATAAAGAATGCTCCTGTATACTCTATGTACTGACTCACCAAGAGGTGGAGGAGGACTGTCTATAAAGAATGCTCCTGTATACTCTATGTACTGACTCACCAAGAGGTGGAGGAGAACTCTCTATAAAGAATGCTCCTGTATACTCTATGTACTGACTCACCAAGAGGTGGAGAGAACTCTCTATAAAGAATGCTCCTGTATACTCTATGTACTGACTCACCAAGAGGTGGGTGGAGAGAACTCTCTATAAAGAATGCTCCTGTATACTCTATGTACTGACTCACCAAGAGGTGGAGGAGGACTGTCTATAAAGAATGCTCCTGTATACTCTATGTACTGACTCACCAAGAGGTGGAGGAGAACTCTCTATAAAGAATGCTCCTGTATACTCTATGTACTGACTCACCAAGAGGTGGAGGAGGACTGTCTATAAAGAATGCTCCTGTATACTCTATGTACTGACTCACCAAGAGGTGGAGGAGGACTCTCTATAAAGAATGCTCCTGTATACTCTATGTACTGACTCACCAAGAGGTGGAGGAGGACTAAAGAAAGCTCCTGTATACTCTATGTACTGAACTCTCTATAAAGAATGCTCCTGTATACTCTATGTACTGACTCACCAAGAGGTGGAGGAGAACTCTCTATAAAGAATGCTCCTGTATACTCTATGTACTGACTCACCAACAGGTGGAGGAGGACTGTCTATAAAGAATGCTCCTGTATACTCTATGTACTGACTCACCAAGAGGTGGAGGAGAACTCTCTATAAAGAATGCTCCTGTATACTCTATGTACTGACTCACCAAGAGGTGGAGGAGGACTGTCTATAAAGAATGCTCCTGTATACTCTATGTACAGACTCACCAAGAGGTGGAGGAGAACTCTCTATAAAGAATGCTCCTGTATACTCTATGTACTGACTCACCAAGAGGTGGAGGAGGACTGTCTATAAAGAAGCTCCTGTATACTCTATGTACTGACTCACCAAGAGGTGGAGGAGGACTCTCTATAAAGAATGCTCCTGTATACTCTATGTACTGACTCACCAAGAGGTGGAGGAGGACTCTCTATAAAGAATGCTCCTGTATACTCTATGTACTGACTCACCAAGAGGTGGAGGAGGACTCTCTATAAAGAATGCTCCTGTATACTCTATGTACTGACTCACCAAGAGGTGGAGGAGGACTGTCTATAAAGAATGCTCCTGTATACTCTATGTACTGACTCACCAAGAGGTGGAGGACTGTCTATAAAGAATGCTCCTGTATACTCTATGTACTGACTCACCAAGAGGTGGAGGAGGACTCTCTATAAAGAATGCTCCTGTATACTCTATGTACTGACTCACCAAGAGGTGGAGGAGAACTCTCTATAAAGAATGCTCCTGTATACTCTATGTACTGACTCACCAAGAGGTGGAGGAGGACTCTCTATAAAGAATGCTCCTGTATACTCTATGTACTGACTCACCAAGAGGTGGAGGAGAACTCTCTATAAAGAATGCTCCTGTATACTCTATGTACTGACTCACCAAGAGGTGGAGGAGGACTGTCTATAAAGAATGCTCCTGTATACTCTATGTACTGACTCACCAAGAGGTGGAGGAGGACTGTCTATAAAGAGTGCTCCTGTATACTCTATGTACTGACTCACCAAGAGGTGGAGGAGAACTCTCTATAAAGAATGCTCCTGTATACTCTATGTACTGACTCACCAAGAGGTGGAGGAGGACTGTCTATAAAGAATGCTCCTGTATACTCTATGTACTGACTCACCAAGAGGTGGAGGAGGACTCTATAAAGAATGCTCCTGTATACTCTATGTACTGACTCACCAAGAGGTGGAGGAGGACTGTCTATAAAGAATGCTCCTGTATACTCTATGTACTGACTCACCAAGAGGTGGAGGAGGACTCTCTATAAAGAATGCTCCTGTATACTCTATGTACTGACTCACCAAGAGGTGGAGGAGGAACTCTCTATAAAGAATGCTCCTGTATACTCTATGTACTGACTCACCAAGAGGTGGAGGAGGACTGTCTATAAAGAATGCTCCTGTATACTCTATGTACTGACTCACCAAGAGGTGGAGGAGGACTGTCTATAAAGAATGCTCCTGTATACTCTATGTACTGACTCACCAAGAGGTGGAGGAGGACTCTCTATAAAGAATGCTCCTGTATACTCTATGTACTGACTCACCAAGAGGTGGAGGAGAACTCTCTATAAAGAATGCTCCTGTATACTCTATGTACTGACTCACCAAGAGGTGGAGGAGGACTGTCTATAAAGAATGCTCCTGTATACTCTATGTACTGACTCACCAAGAGGTGGAGGAGGACTGTCTATAAAGAATGCTCCTGTATACTCTATGTACTGACTCACCAAGAGGTGGAGGAGGACTCTCTATAAAGAATGCTCCTGTATACTCTATGTACTGACTCACCAAGAGGTGGAGGAGGACTCTCTATAAAGAATGCTCCTGTATACTCTATGTACTGACTCACCAAGAGGTGGAGGAGGACTGTCTATAAAGAATGCTCCTGTATACTCTATGTACTGACTCACCAAGAGGTGGAGGAGGACTCTCTATAAAGAATGCTCCTGTATACTCTATGTACTGACTCACCAAGAGGTGGAGGAGGACTGTCTATAAAGAATGCTCCTGTATACTCTATGTACTGACTCACCAAGAGGTGGAGGAGGACTGTCTATAAAGAATGCTCCTGTATACTCTATGTACTGACTCACCAAGAGGTGGAGGAGGACTGTCTATAAAGAATGCTCCTGTATACTCTATGTACTGACTCACCAAGAGGTGGAGGAGAACTCTCTATAAAGAATGCTCCTGTATACTCTATGTACTGACTCACCAAGAGGTGGAGGAGAACTCTCTATAAAGAATGCTCCTGTATACTCTATGTACTGACTCACCAAGAGGTGGAGGAGGACTCTCTATAAAGAATGCTCCTGTATACTCTATGTACTGACTCACCAAGAGGTGGAGGACTGTCTATAAAGAATGCTCCTGTATACTCTATGTACTGACTCACCAAGAGGTGGAGGAGGACTCTCTATAAAGAATGCTCCTGTATACTCTATGTACTGACTCACCAAGAGGTGGAGGAGGACTCTCTATAAAGAATGCTCCTGTATACTCTATGTACTGACTCACCAAGAGGTGGAGGAGGACTCTCTATAAAGAATGCTCCTGTATACTCTATGTACTGACTCACCAAGAGGTGGAGGAGGACTCTCTATAAAGAATGCTCCTGTATACTCTATGTACTGACTCACCAAGAGGTGGAGGAGAACTCTCTATAAAGAATGCTCCTGTATACTCTATGTACTGACTCACCAAGAGGTGGAGGAGGACTCTCTATAAAGAATGCTCCTGTATACTCTATGTACTGACTCACCAAGAGGTGGAGGAGGACTGTCTATAAAGAATGCTCCTGTATACTCTATGTACTGACTCACCAAGAGGTGGAGGAGGACTGTCTATAAAGAATGCTCCTGTATACTCTATGTACTGACTCACCAAGAGGTGGAGGAGGACTGTCTATAAAGAATGCTCCTGTATACTCTATGTACTGACTCACCAAGAGGTGGAGGAGGACTGTCTATAAAGAATGCTCCTGTATACTCTATGTACTGACTCACCAAGAGGTGGAGGAGGACTCTCTATAAAGAATGCTCCTGTATACTCTATGTACTGACTCACCAAGAGGTGGAGGAGGACTGTCTATAAAGAATGCTCCTGTATACTCTATGTACTGACTCACCAAGAGGTGGAGGAGGACTCTCTATAAAGAATGCTCCTGTATACTCTATGTACTGACTCACCAAGAGGTGGAGGAGGACTGTCTATAAAGAATGCTCCTGTATACTCTATGTACTGACTCACCAAGAGGTGGAGGACTGTCTATAAAGAATGCTCCTGTATACTCTATGTACTGACTCACCAAGAGGTGGAGGAGGACTCTCTATAAAGAATGCTCCTGTATACTCTATGTACTGACTCACCAAGAGGTGGAGGAGAACTCTCTATAAAGAAT